ATTTTTGCTGCCCTAGGCAAAATAAAAATCTGCCCCCCCCCCCCATATGTCCTGCCCAACATGTGACATCACAATGCCCCGCCCATATGCTCTGCCATATGGGCCAACGCCAGTCCTCACAAAGTGTCTTTTATCGGAAAAGACAGTCTGTTTACATTAAAAAGCCTACAGGCACAGGCTATAGACACCAGAACCACTACATTATGCTGTAGTGCTTCTGGTGACTATAGTATCCATTTAATGTGAGGTAAATTAGAGATTAGTGCCACTAATAATATATTGGATTGCCTACTTCCCACCAGATGAGGACAAGAGGCTGATGATGGGCTCTGTCTGGCTCCACAGGTCTGGTGTAGAAGAGGCTCTCAGGAGACTGTTTTTAACAGTGCTCACAACAATTAACGAACAGGAAGCAGCTCCATTTTTTTAGGGCCCCTTACACAGCTCAAGGTGACCGTGAGTATGCCTACAATGCCCACCTATAAATCCAGCTACATGGCCCACCCATGAGTTCTCTCACAGGAAGTGTAGTGTATGTGTGTAGGAGATGTTTTATGTGTTATTGTAGAGGATGCAATGTGTGTGTGTTCTTATAGAATGTAGTGTATGGGGATACCAATTTGTGTAAGGGATGTAGTGTGTTTATAGAGGATGCAGTGTGTGTTTGCGTGTAAGGAATGCATTGTATGTTTCTGGGTGTGTGTGTGTGTGTGTGTAAGGGGTGCAAGGTGTGTTTCTGTGTATTTAATGGATTGCAGTGTGTGTCTGTAAGGGGTGCATTGATTGTGTAAGAGATGCATTTTGTTTCTGTGTGTAAGAGAATGAGTGTTTGTGTGAACGTAAGGGATGCATTGTGTGTTTCGGGTGTGTCTGTGTGTGAGTAGGAATGCATTGTATGTTTCTGTGTGTGTGTGTGTGGGGGGATGCATTGTGTATGTGTGTAGTGTAAAAGAGAGGGTTTGTGGGGTAGGATAGAGACTGAGAGGGGAGCAGCTCTTTATTTTTTATTTTATTTTCATAGTGCTCACCCCCCTGTCAATGATTGATTTCCCCTTCCCTCCCTTAGTGCTCTCCCTTGGCCCCTTGTAGGCCCCCTGTAGTCCCCCCTTGTTGGTCTTCTCACTCCCCCTTTCCCCCCTTAGTGGTCCTCCCTCTCCCGAACCCCTTAGTAGACCTCCCCCCTCCTCCCTCAGTGGTCCTTACTCCCCACCCCCCCTCCCCCTGTGTTCCTTCACCCCCCTTCCCCAGTGGTTTTTACTCCCCCATTCCTCCCCCAGTGGTCCTTACTCCCCCCCTCCTCCCCTAGTGGTCCTTACTACCCCCTCTTCCTTCAGTCGCCTCCCCCCCTCCTTTCTCCTCCCCAGTGGTCTTACTCCCCTCTGGTCCTTACTCCCCAGTGGCCCACCTCTGGTCGCTTACTCCCCTCCCCTGGTCCTTACTCCCCACCCTCGGTTCGCCTCCACCCTCCCCCTCCCCTGGTGGTCTTCTCCCCCACCCCCCCCCTCTGGTCCTTACTCCCCCTCCTCCTGGTCCTTACTCACCCTCCTGGTCCCTCCCCTCCCTCCCCTGTGTTTCCTTGCTCCCCTCTGGTCCTTACTCCCCGTCCGTCCTTACTCACACTCTCCCCCTCCTGGTGTTCCTTACTCCCCGGTCCTTACTCCACAGCCCCCATCCCCTGGTGTTCTTACTCCCGTCCCCTGGTCCTTGCTCACCCCTGTGTTCACCCACCCCCCCTTGTCCTTGCTCACCCTCCCCCTCCCCTCCCTGTGTTCCTTACTCCCCCTCTGATCCTTACCCCCCTCCCCTGGTGTTCCTTACTCCCGGTCCTTACTCACCCCTCCCTGGTGTTCCTTTCTCCCCGGTCCCTCACACCCCCCTCCTGGTGTTTCTTCTCCCCTCCCCGGTTCTTGCTCACCCCTCCCCTGGTGGTCCTTACCCCCCTCCCCCTGTGTTCCTTACTCCCCCGCCTATGTAGCATGGCCGGGCGGCGCGGAATGCCGGAGGGGAACTTCTGTTTCCTGTCCCGGCGGACTGAAGGGAAGTGCTCACTCAGTGAGCACTTCCTGTCAGTCCGCCGGCGGCCGGGTACAGGAAACAGAGGTTCCTGTTCCGCGCCGCCCGGCCACACTACATTGAGAGACCGGCGGGAGGGAGCGGTCTGCGCTTCCCTCCTGCCGGTCACTCAAATCCGCGGTGACTCCGGGCGCAGGGATCCGGCGCCCCCTGTTAAGGTGCGCCCTAGACAGCTGCCTAGGTCGCCTTACAGGTAGCGCCGGCCCTGCACACAATCTGTACAAACGTAATCCGCTAACAATCCACATACATGCATACAACCCCACATGCAGCTTCTCACATGCAATACCCCAAACAGACCCACACACTACCAAACACACAATGTTACATTTCCATTCACACACACAACTCCACAATCAGCTCTCATACACAGCCCACATTCATAGGTATCATACACGATACCACAAACTACTAATGAACATATACAGTCTAATAGCTCATATACACACAAATACAATGATACAAAGCAATTACAGTAAAAATAACACAAGCAGAAGACGGCAACATAGACGGCTCAATTTAAAAATATAGGACCGACACGCTACGGGACATCACAATCTTATATTGGTACAGTGCTGCTAAAAAGTTGCCTACCCCTGGTCTAAGGTGTTACATTTATTCAGCCAATCGCAAATTGGCACAGTATTCTTTACAAACCAAGCAATTCTAACCCATCACATACAATTCTGTATGTTAGGAGTAGAGAAGCAATTCTGCTCAGCATAACTCAGGGTGTTTTGCCGAGCAGGCAGGGAAGACGCCCATCCTAAGCATTTTAAAACATTTCACTGATATAGCTAAAAAGTCTCTAATCATTATATATAATTTGATACATCAAGACCAAGCAATAAAATTTACCCTAACATAGTTATACCCTAAAGAAAACATGCATTTATGGTTTAACTACATGCTTTTAGTCTATGCTTTGTTTAGGAAGTCCCTCTTGTTCGTGTTTTTTAAAGTGCCTGTTTCATAAGATGTTTCTTTAAAGGAACACTATAGACACCAGACCACTTAATCTCAATGTGGCCTGAGTGCAATGTGCTGCCGTTTTAACCATGCAGTTGGAATGGCAATGCATTCATTGTAAGGTTAACCACTAGAGGTGCTCCTCTAAAACAGCACAGTAAAACTCTATATCTCAATGAGCTCAGCAAAAAGGGGCGGGACTTGAGTGAAGAGACTGGCAAGGCAAGGGAAATAAGGTAAGTAAAAATCTAAACACTAGTCTTTCAAATCATGTTGGGCACACTCTCTAAGCCATACCTAGTATGATAATGTGGTAGTATGAACTTTCACTTTATTGTTGTAGCTTAGCCCGGAAGGACGGTGGTAAATGGAAGGTAAATGTCAACCTTTTTTCGTAAACATTTTCACAGATTATCTTTGAACGTACAGCATTGTAGTGGTTATGGTAATTAATGTCTCTTTAAATGAATGCTTAGTATAGAAATAAAAAATGAGTTGAGATTCCAGTTCAACAGATAATATATATGTTTCCACCACTTTTAGAAGGTATAGTCTACATATGCACCCAGTATAGAATCTATATTTAAGGCTCTTGGCGTGCAATTCCTTGGTCTGTTAAGACTGCACCAACCCGTTTTGTATTCATCTCCAAATGGAACATCTATAATTCAGTTTTAAATAGGTGTCTGTTGTTGGCCTTGTTTACCTATCATTTTACCAGAGAAAAGGAGTAAACAAACACATTTTACCATGTATTTCCTTTTTTTTTTATCTTCAGCTTTATTGTATTACTACTGTTTGTTCATTTCCATGTGTCTTAGATATTTCTTCTACCTGCTTTTATTTTCTTCATATTGTATATAAACCACTTCCTTATTTTGAAACTCAGTCTCTTCTGCTTCTCTTAAATTTGTGTTGCTTTCAGGTTGGCATTCGGTATTATTGCTCGCTCAGCAGGTCTCTATGAAAACGTAAAGAAGATTTGCTCTTGTGATGGGGTTACCATTTGGGAGGAGAGAGACTGTCCAATAGCGGGACCAGAACGGAACAAACGCAAAACTGCCAACCTTTAAGAAAATGTATCTTCCTTGTCAGAACATTTGATTACAAGTTACAATTGAAGATTTCAGTTCCACAGACAAATCTATTAACTGTTGATAATTTAAAATTAGATTGATTTACATACATATTGATTTACGCATTACAGTCTAAGTAATCCTAGAACTAAGATTAATGGGACGTAATCAAAACAGTATTAAATGTTTAATTTACTGTCTTGTGCTAGAAAACATTTTCATTTTATTTACAGTTAGAATCATGGTCTTGCAAAATGGCAACCAATGGTAATCTTTAATGCACGCTATAGTAGTTATGATACTTGGAGTCTTCATTTAATAATATAAAAGATAAAGTGAGGCTAATCTAGTAAATGTTTATTTAACGTATTCTATTTCTTTTTATTATTTTTCATTACAGCAGGCTGAGATTTCTTGGACATTTTTGATTCTTAAGGGTTTAATTTGAGTAGGCGTTTTAATTGAGTGAAATCATCTACTATATAATCAGTGGAGATAAAACAACATTGCACACCCTGAAAAAGTTCAGATGTCATAAATGAAATGCTCTGGTAGAAAACTGGTAGTCATGGACACCAAAGCCCTTCTCAAGAGTTAGCTAAAGTCTTCAAAGTGGACAGAAGCATTCAAAGAGTGAATGGGAAATCATACTAAGCTTGGTGTACAGTTGTAGCTAATTCAGGACATATAAAGCAGCACAATGTTGTTTGTGACATATGCTCTATAACTTTGATTCCAGGTGCCAGCTCACACTGACTGCACTACAGAGGGGGAGTAAGGAACACAGGGTGAGGGGAGGGTGGGGAGGGTGAGCAAGGATAAGGGGGGAGGGGGAGTAAGGAACACAGGGGGGGGAGTGAGAAAGGACCAAAAAGATGTTTGTGAAAACTGGAGTTATGGCTAAAGGGATGGGCTTATCAGTATATTCAGCCTCAACTGTCTGAGATTTGAATGTGGAGAAAAATACATTATGAATATAAGGCCAAAGCCAATCAAGTTTATTGAAGTTTTGTGTGTGAATGGAGTAGAGGGACCAGTTCCAAGTACATATATCTATCTGTTTATTATGGACAAATAATTTTTCTAACAATTTGACTTCTTGTGAGCACTACCTCCTAACAGCTGGAAGTGAGAGCCAGAAGCTACTGCAAGGAGTTAGTTAGCTCTCTTTAACTAAACCCCACTGTGCAGGGCCAGTTCAATGGCTGAGTGTGTCTGCTGATTGATGTTAGCCAATGATCTATGCCCTGCACCCAGGGCCAGATTAAGAGCCCAGTGGGCCTGGAACTGACATTTATTTTGGGCCTGATTACAGAATCTTATCGACCAAAAACACTAAAACAACCATACCTCCCAAGTGTCACGTATCTGACGGAGGTGGTGTTGGAGGAAAATGATGCAGCTATAAGAAAACACATACTCAATGCTAATCTCTCTCTAATTTATGATTTCATCTTTCAAGTAAATCCATATCCCCTAACAGCAGTGTCCAGTGAAGCAGGAAGTCAATGGGCGGGGTAAAAGGGTGAGCCACTGACGCGAATCACATGACCAGAACTGCCAAAAGGGTGAACATGCCCAAAAAGGGGGCATGTTTGCACAAAGAATTGGAAGGTCAGCCTGGCATGAATGCATGTCAGGCTGCCTACCAATCATACAGGCTGGCAAACTAAGGGCATACTATGCAGGCAGCACCCTGAGCTAGGCATAAATGCATCAAATGATGCGCCTACTCCACGCTTTCTAAGGACTGTCCTCTAGCACTCGCTGGTCCATTTGTCTCCTTACCTTCTTACCAGCAGGCAGAAGTTCCTGGTATATAGTCTGGGAAAGAGAAAAGGTGTATGTTGTGAGTGTAGTGTATGTAGTGAGTGTAGAAGAAAGGGGACATGCCACAGTGTTAGAGAAACCAAAGTCTGCATTACCTAAACTAATTTTATTGTCGGCCAGTCCACACAGGTTTTGTTGCCATACATCCCTCTTAAGCTTCCAAACTTAAAGGAACACTATAATCCCCAGAAAACTACAACTTATAGTATTTGTTCTGGTAAGTAGAATAATTCCTTTCAGGCTTTTTGCAGTAAACACTGTGTTTTCAGAGAAAATAACCACTGGCCGCTCCTTAGATGGCTGTTAGAGGTGCTTCCTGGGGAAGTACTGCCTAGTGTGCAGCACTGCCATTCAGTGTCTCCGCCCTCTGCATGCAGACACTGAACTTTCCTCATAGAGATGCATTGATTCAATTTATCTTTATGAGGAGATGCTGATTGGCCAGGACTATGTTTGACTTGTGCTGGCTCTGCCCCTGATCCTGCCTAGTTGACAAGCAAGAGTATGTGAAGAGTAGTTAGGGTTGCCAACTTTCTTGGAAAAAATACCAGCCTTTGTATAATTAGTTATGAGTGACATCACATGATGTAAATCACAAGGAGTGAAAATTCTGTAAAATCACCAACAAACTACTCACAGTTTGATTCTGCTGTATAGATGAATTGCTCCCAGTGTCTCCCTGTCTCCGTCTTGCAAGTGTGTCCCCATGTATCACAGTGTCAGTGTCCCCATAGCTCCCAGTCCCCTAGTCTCCCAGTGTCCCCATTTCTCAGTGTGTCCCCATGTCACTAGGATTATAGGGGACACAGTGAGACATGGGGACACAGAGACCCGGGAACACTGGGAGACATGGGGGCACAGACACTTGGGGACACTGGGAGACATGGGGGCACTTGTGAATATAGACATGGGGACACTGGGAGACATGGGGACACTGGGAGATATGGGGACACTAAGACACTAGGGACAGTAAGAGACATGGGAACACAGACACTGGGAGACTAGGGGACACTGGGAGACTAGGGACACTGGCTGGAAGACAGACACTTGGAGACATGGGGACACAGACATTTGGGGACACTGGGAAACATAGGGACACAGATACTGGGAGACTTGGGGACACTGAGGACACTGGTTGGGAGACATGGGGACACTGGGAGACTAGGAGAAACTGGGAGCCATGTGGACACTCAGCCACTAGGGACACTGTCTGGGGGACATGGGGACACTAGGAGACCCAATGTGTCACAGTGTCCCTATGTTTTCCAGTGTCCCCTAGTGTCTGTGTCCCTATGTCTCCCTGCTGCCTTTCCCCCCATCTCTCACTTACCTGAGCTGTAGAGCTGCTGTCTGGACTGTCTGTGCTGTGTTGCTGCTCCCCTACGGATCAGTGAGTAGTAGAGAGAGGCAAGGATATGCTGTAACTTCCTATACCTGCCTCTCTCCACACACACAGTGACCCCTACTGGCCAGTGCTGGTATTGCAGAGTAATCTCCGTTTATACTGAGAATAATATTTGCATTTGTATTGCGGTATTACTGTAATACCATCACGGCCAGGTAGCCTCAAATACCGGCTGTGCCTTAAAATACCAGTCAGGTGGCAAACCTAAGAGCAGTGTGGTAAAAAAAAAAAGCAAAAAAATAAATTTACTTTTGTTTTTTTTGTTTTTTTTTTTTAAAGGGGCCTATTTTATGGGCCTGGGCCTGGGCCTGGGCTTGGGCTTGGGCTTGGAGCTGCAGCTCCATCAGCCCCTATGTTACTCCGGCCCTGCCTGCGCCGTCAGGCTTGACTTGATGAATTGAGCTTCCAGCTGTGAGGAAGCAGAATACAGCACCTGGCACACCCCAGGAAGAGAGCAAACAGTTTGACTACATTGGGGAGGGATGCCAGAGTACGCCTGGCACCATAACCAGTACCGCATTCTTGGAGTGTTGGTGGCTCCTTTCATTAATATCAGCTTACAGGGGATCTGTCACTTTTGGATTTTACACCATTGGAAAAAATAAAATTGTTTTCTTTTAAATGTATATAATAGATTTAGCAAATAGCATAATAATTTAGTTCAAATAAGGCAAAGCCAAAATAGACATTGCAATGAAGAGAATAAACAGAAACACTGTTTCATCTCTTCTCTTCTACATAGGGGGTTAAATATAATTTTATTGGTATATATGTCAGAAATAAAATAACAAGAGGATTATAACAAATGGTTCAAAGGGCATACTTTACATATTCCACTACACAAAGAAGACCCCAATAGTACAGAGGAAAAAAAAATACAATTGTCACAGAAACTTTCACAAAAACATATACCCGTGTAATAACATGAATTGTGAACAAGGAGAAGAAACCAAGGATTAAGGAAGGAAGGATAGGATGGAAAAGGGTAATTAGGAAGGTGGGAAAAGTAGGATAATTAATTATACATTGAAGTAAAAGAGCACAACTGACAGACACTCAGGAAATCATGAGATAGGGAGCACAGAGGAGAGTATTAGCAGTTTTGCTTTATCCTAAATATTGCAAGCCTCCTTCAACAAACAATTACCTGAAGAAGAAGTGCTGGCAAAAGAGTCATATTGATTTGTTTGCATCACAGATCTAATATATTGAGAAAGTGGTTCCAGAGTAAGAATATATAGCATCGGAGAGATAGCACAACCCTGCCTAGTTCCATTTCGAACCTTAAACCAAGAGGAAGCAATACCTGATCCTGTGATCCTAGCTGAAGGGTTAGTGTAGCCTGAAGAATCCACCCATTAAAGCCTCTATTAATTAATGTTTGAAACATAAAGGACCAACTTACACGATCAAAGGCTTTATTCGCATCAAGTGAAAGTAGGATAGTCTGTTCGGTTCTTCTATTGGTTAAATCAATCAAATCTACTACTCTACGGATATTATCGACTATTATTTGGCACTCTGCTGGCAAAATTTTATAGCACTCTCTGACCCTATGCACTTTCCTTCCCATGTGTTATCTCTTTTAAAAACCTTTGGGGATGTTTACCTTTACTGCTTAAATCAAGACAAGACATAAGCTCTCCCAATCAGCCACTGGCGTACATACTGCGGTCACAGGGGTCGCAGCTGCCTGATTACGGGAGGTATATTTACTCGTACAAATAAACATAATCTAAATCCTACTACATATACTAAACTGCTCCACCTTGCTCCACCTGCAAGCCCAACTCAGGGATATGGAGCTATCCAAAACTAAATTTTTGCTTAGGAATTCCAAATGCAGCTTCTTCTTAAAGCAGAAATCGGTCGCCTCCAGGATCGCCTTTCTGGAAAACCCTAAAGGTAAAAAAAAAGTAGATCCACAGGCTATTGTAAATGAGTTTGCTGGTTACTACGGTAAATTGTACAAAATAAAAGACGATCCACAGACTAACCTCCCTACATCTGATGGCATAAACATAGCAGACTTGGACCTTCACAAACTGACTACAGACAATCATCAGGACCTTCTTAAGAAACCCTTTTCAATAGAGGAAAAAAAGCACATTGATTTCCCTGTTACCAGCCCATAAAACACCTGGGCCCGACAGCCTACCAAATACATATTATCAAATGTTTGCAAACATTTTATCCCCCCACCTACAATCCCTTTTTAATAATTGCATGCCAGTTGGTTCTTTACTGGAAGAGATGTTGTTAGTTCACGTATCCACACTAGCCATGCCTGAAAAACCAGCACCTCAGTGTAAAATTTCTGACCAAATTTTTCTCCTTGCTGAATGGCGATGCCAAAACTTCGGCCAAACATTTAAGTAAAGGTTAGCCCCCTTACTGCACAGGTTGGTGCACAATGACCAATCAGGCTTCATAAAATGCTGCCAAGACTCTGACAACATCAGGAAAATATTGAATATTTTGGCAAGCATGGAGAAACATGGTGTCGGGGTCCTTTTCCTAGAACTTGATGCAGAAAAGGCCTTCGACAGACTCAATCGATCCTACATGGGTTGGGCGCTTGCCAAATTCCACTTTGTACCAGAAATTATACAGGAAATTATGGTGTTTTATACAAGACCAGCAGCTAAGGTGTCTCATAGTGTATTTACATCTAATGGTTTCCACATAACAAATAGGACCTGTCAGGGTTGCCCATTGTCCCACCTTTTATACATACTGTCCCTAGAACCTTTAACCTGGAAAATATGTATGCATACAAACAATGTTGGTGTCCTTGTATCAGGGAAAGACTATTGTTTGGCACTCTTGGCTGGCAAAATTTTATTGCACTCTCTTTCCCCTTTATCTCTTTTTTTTTTTTTAATAAATATTTATTGAATTGGTTTTTTTCCAACATTACATATAGGAAAGACAATCACATTACATCATCAGTACAAAACTGAATATTGGTCAATCTGCTTCAACACTCGATAATTCTAAAAACAGTAACATACTACATTGCGTAAATGCACAGCAAAACTCCACCATTAGTAATTGAGTAAAATAAATGTACTACAGGGTTCACAATTCAGATCTCCACAATATGTATCTCTATGTTTATACTACGAGCCCCGATCTAATAAGCCCATACGAGATATGAGTGGGAGGGGGAGATGAAGGAAATCCTCTTGAGAGACACAGTGTTTGATATTAGACCATTCAGGGGCATCACTTGTCACAAGATACATGTATATACTTAGGTTTCTTGGATAAAGTTGTTCCATATATTCCATCCATATTTAGTTATAGGTAGGGGCTCCTTTCCATCTTTAATTGGAAGGAAATTTGTGTTTTTAACATAGCCCACATTGGGGACTCACACTGTTTCTAAAGTTTTACAATACATTTTTTTGCAGCTATCAAAATATGTGTGGCTATATATTCATATTTTTTTGACAATTTAGGCCAATCATGCAATTTTGGGTGAAAATATCATATGGGTATCTATAAAGTTCTCTGGTATGTTGTATATTAATTCCCAGAAAGATTTGAATTTCTGACAATTCCACCAAACATGAATATAAGATCCCTCTAAGTAATTACACTGCCAGCAGAGAGGGGAGCATGAGGGGAACATTTTATTTATTTTCTTTGGGACCAAATGCCATTTAATTAATATCTTATATTGTAGCTCTATGAGGTTAAGACAATGGAGAGATTTCTTGACTTTCAGTATAATTTTATGCAAGTCTGAGATTTTTATTTCTATTCCAAGTTCAGTTTTCCACTTATTTATAATGTTAATAACTGGATCTATAGAAGAGTCTCTATCATCAAAAATGGGACTTTTCATCAAAGTTCTAATTTTATCTCCATATTTTAATAGAGACTCCAATCCTATAATTTCATTGTCTCTTTTACATATAAAGTTTATCATGTAGCTTTTGATTCTAAAATAGGAAAATACTTCCTTTGAGGATAAATGAAATTCAAAAGCTAATTCATGAAAAGGTTTAATATAAGGACCATTTAATATATCTATTAAAGCATTTATACCATTATTTTTCCATATAGACATATTAATTTCTTCCATATTGTATTCCAACAAGCTTATGCTGCACTTAGCTCTGATACTATTGCCCCATGATAGATTATACTGCATCTTGAATCTGGACCAAAACCTTTGAATTTCATATGTAAGATAGTGTTTCCCGCATTTGTTCTCTACGGTCCTATCAATACTCAATTTTTTAGGATCAATCCATAGTAATAGGGAAAGGTCTGATATTCCCAACATAAATTTTTTAAGATCACCCCATAAGTCTTTGGGTTCTGTTTTAAACCACTTAGAGATGTGTTTAAGAATAGCTGCATCATGATATTTTTTAATACTAGGAATGGCTAATCCACCTTTATCTATGCTTTTTTCCAATATCTTTCTTTTTATTCTTGACTTTTTCCCCTCTATTTATATAATCATAAATTTTACTTTGGATTTTAACCAAGTTCAATCTATGTAAGCATATGGGAATCACCCCAAATACATAATTCCATTTTTGGAGCAAATAGGATTTTATAACATTGATTCGTCCCAACCAGGAGAGTACCAAAGATTTCCATTTGTAACGGACCGTTTCAGCACACAAGGGGTTAAAACCGTTTAGGCGATCGTCCCCTTTCAGAGATGCAGGCACAGCTACTGCAGAACACCAATCCGCCGAACAGGAAACCATATGAATGCTGTAAACAGCCGAATAGGAAAAACCATACGAATAGGTTTACACTCCTAGCAGTCAAACTGGAATACAATAAATCCCCCCCAAGAACGAGACAAAGCTTTGTGTTGATGGTCAAGCAGTGAACAGACAGAGCTGTGGGTGGTACTAATGTGTACACATTCTTACACAGT